CCAAATCGTATTTAACCCTTAAAAAGGGCCTTAACTCAGGCACAAAGCTGAGGTGGACCAACAATGCCCAGCAATGTCCAGGGGGCAACACCTGAGCACCCAGCCAGACCCTCAGCAACAAAGGGATAAAGATGAAATCCCGAGAGCAGGGCCAGAGACAGCAGCGGGCAGGGCCAGACAGACAAGGAAGCAGGCAGGGAGGGACAGACAGGGCAGCGGGCAGGGATGGAAATAGCACAGTGGGCAGGGCACTGGCCTTGCCCGTGGCTGGCCCGGGTTCCATCCCTGCACCCCACAGTGACCCTGGAGTTCGCTAGGAGTGATCCCTGAGCACCGCTGGATGTCCCCCCCCCCCCCCCCCCCGCCAACAAACAGAGCAGTGGACACCTGGGCCTTCAAACAGTGTGCCCAGGGGTGGGAGGTAGCTAGGCGGTGGCCTCAGCACTGCCATGGGGTCTGCACTGGCCAATGCCCCCTTCCACTCCCCATCCCCTCCCGGACACCTGGCCATGCCCTGGCACTGCCCCTGTACACGAGACCTGATGCCACAGCTAGTTCTGACGGCACTGAGGTGGCCGCAGAGCAGAGGGGGCAGGTAGCGGGGTTCGGTGCCCAGAGCCGGCCCTCCCGGGGGCACCCATCACCCCGGCCTCTTGGGTGCAGCCTGCCTGTGTTCCCCAAGGGGGCGCGGGCCAGAAGGATGGGAGCCCCTGCCCCCAGGGCCGGTCCCCCGGAACATTCCGGACTGCGCCGGCAGCACTGCCCATCTCTGGGGGCTGGGGGTCGGTGTCGGGGTGCCCAGGGCTATCTCTGGCCTCTGCGTGTTCCTCAGGGTGGTCTCTTGGTGAGAGCAAGGCTTGGCGCCCAGCAGCTCCAGGAGTACGGAGGGCAGACACCCCAGAGCCCCTCAGCTCTGCTCTCCAAATCACCACACGCATGACCCAGGAGTGCCTTTCCAGACGCCCACAGAAATTTCCAGAATACCCCCCCCTCCCCGAGCAAACAGCCCCACACGGAAGGCCCAGGGGGCCATGGGTAGCCCCAGCAGCACGTCCCAGCGTGACCCCCTGTCCCCGCGGACTCAGTATGTGGGCACAGGGGGGCAGCTCCGGGTCAGAGAAGGCTGGGGGCTCCAGGTCCGGAGCACCAGGCAGTGGCCGCATGCGGTGTTGGGGTGCTTTCCACCATCATGTCCAACAGCCGGTGGGACTGGGGGATGGTCAGCACTGTGGGATTGGGGGGGGCAGCACGGCCAGCCCTGGGAGAGGGCTGCTCCCTCCACAGCCTGGAGGAATCTGCTGGGGGTGACAGAGTCCGGGTGTCCCCCCTCCGCACTAGGACAGCCCCGGGCAGGGGAAGACCTCCAGAGCCCCCATCTCCCCATGGCGGGGAGCCCAGAGCCACAGTCTGGGTGGGGATACTCATGCCGCATCGCTCTGTGGAAGCAGAGGGGTCTTGGCCATGCCAGGAGCGATGGCCGCACCTCCCTTCTCACACCGACCCCCAGGGGCAGGGCCGACTCCTCTCCACTCCTCCGGGCGCCAGTGACCCACATCAGCCCAGGGGCCTGGAACGTTCCAGGACTAGCAGCAGCAAGCGGGGCCGCTGAGGAGGGCGGGGGTTGGGAGGTGAACTGAGCACCACAGGCGTACGAACACGCGGGGTGGACCCGCACGCACGGGGACGCACACTCCCTGGCACTGACATGCACACACGCAGACATGCACACGCCCCAACAAGCAGGCACGCACGGACATGCTCATGCAGCGATGTGCACACCCCGACGCGCGGGCATACACGAAAACGCGCCCATGCACACCCGCCGATGCGCAATCGTGCTCATGCGTCTCGGCCTGGGCCTGGCCCAGGGTTCAACAGTGTCCTTCGGATCTTCCGGGTGTCCGTGGCTCAGGGGCAGTGGCTGGTCCCGGGCCCTGATGGCCATGGAATGGAGAGGCGTTGAGGGGAGACTGAGGCCTTCAGGCCATAGGGGTCCACGTTCTTGCTGCCCGCGTGGGACTGGGCACAGGACCCCCAGGCAGCTGCCTCCCACCCTGGGCACGGTTTCCCCGTGCCAGAGGCCGTGCCCTCTGGCCTCTGCCCTGAGTCTTTACCCAGGGGGTGGCAGGGGCCGGCCCATAACTAGGTGGCCCCACCCGCTGCACCGGGAAGGACAAGGCAGGAGTGGACAGGCCCCGGGAGCACAGCTAGGCTAGGCGCAGTGAGGGGCCCACCTCAGGAGCCTCAAGGACAGGTGTACCGGCCTGGGGCCAGGGGCCAGCAGTGACCACGGCTGCACCCCCACGGCCGCCCTGGGCTTCTCAGCTGCCCCCAAGCAGGGGCCCAGCCGCCCCAGGCCACACAGGGCTTTGGAACCCGGGCTGTCCACAGGGCTGTGTGCGCCCCAGCCCCACCCCTGGGACCCCCACCTCCAACCCAGCTCCTCAGGGAGGGCTTGGAAAACCACGTTTATCAGTCTCTGGGAGCTGCGTGCAGGCATGCACATGCCCACTGCAAGGAAATGTTAGGGCCTGTGCACACGCATGCAGGTGAGGCACATGCTCTCAGTGCGTGCACGTCCTGTGTGTGCCTGCTGTGGGATGCATGTGTGTGGAGGCTGTTGGTGCCTTGAGTGCACGTGTGTGGCGCATGTTGCATGCACATGGCTTGTCCACCACAGGGTATGTACACATGAGTATTTTGCACATCTATGTGTGTGTGTGGTATGTTTGTGTGTGTCTGTATGTGCATGTCTACCTGGTGTGTGTCTCCATGTGGTGTATCTGTGTGTGCGTGTCTACGTGGTGTGTCTTGAGCATGTGTCTGCATGTGTATGTCTGTGTGGTGTATGTGTGTATGTTTGCGTGTGTGCCTGTGTGTGTCTGTGCGTGTGCCTGTGTGTGTGTCTGTGTGGAGTGTGTCTCAGCGTGCGTATCTGTGTGTGTGTCTGTGTGTGTGCCTGTGTATGTGTCTGTGTGTGTGTGCTTGTGTGGTGTCTGTGTGGTGTGTGTCTGTGCGTGTGTTCGTTTGTGGTGTCTGTGTGGTGTGTATGTACGTGTGTGTAGGTGTGCGTGTGCATGTATGAGTTTGCGTGTGTACCTGTGTGTGTCTGTGTGTGTACCTGTGTGGTGTGCGTGTGTGTGTGGTGTGTGCGTGTATCTGTGTGTGTATCTGTGTGGTGTGTGTCTGTGCGTGTGTGCCTGTGTGGTATCTGTGTGGTACGTGTGTGCGTGTGTGTTACATGTGCATGTGTGCGTGCGTGTGTGCGTGAGTTTCTGTAGGTGCTGGGACAAGGACCCCCGCAGCTGCGTTCCCTCGGGCAGGCTGCTGAGGCCTGCGCTCTGGGCTGCTGTCGAAGTCCTGGGCTGACCTGAGCCCAGAGCCACTCCAGCTGCCCGGCGCTGATCAAATCAGGGCTGACCCTGTCCTCCGGCCTCCCAGTCCCCGTGATTCCATTAAAGCCGTGACAGCCTTTGCCTGTCACCTACAGGAACCCAGTGGAGTGGGGAAGGGCTGGGGGCTGAACTCTGTCACCAGGGAATGTGGTGCCCTGGGCACTGGGGAGCGGGCGGCCAATGGGGAGGGCATCTCTGCACCCTGCCTGCTGGAGAGGGGCATTTCTGCACCCCTGCCTGGTGGGGAGGGGCGTCTCTGCACCCCTGCCTGGTGGGGAGGGGCATCCCTGCACCCCTGCCTGGTGGGGAGGGGCATCCCTGCACCCCTGCCTGGTGGGGAGGGGCATCCCTGCACCCCTGCCTGGTGGGGAGGGGCATCCCTGCACCCCTGCCTGGTGGGGAGGGGCATCCCTGCACCCCTGCCTGGTGGGGAGGGGCATCCCTGCACCCCTGCCTGGTGGGGAGGGGCATCCCTGCACCCCTGCCTGGTGGGGAGGGGCATCCCTGCACCCCTGCCTGGTGGGGAGGGGCATCCCTGCACCCCTGCCTGGTGGGGAGGGGCATCCCTGCACCCCTGCCTGGTGGGGAGGGGCATCCCTGCACCCCTGCCTGGTGGGGAGGGGCATCCCTGCACCCCTGCCTGGTGGGGAGGGGCATCTCTGCACCCCTGCCTGGTGGGGAGGGGCATCTCTGCACCCCTGCCTGGTGGGGAGGGGCGTCTCTGCACCCCTGCCTGGTGGGGAGGGGCGTCCCTGCACCCCTGCCTGGTGGGGAGGGGCATCCCTGCACCCCTGCCTGGTGTGGAGGGGTGTCTCCGCTCCCCTGCCTGGTGGGGAGGGGCGTCTCTGCACCCCTGCCTGGCTTCTGGTGCTCCACAAGAGCTGTGAGCTGAGCTTTGGAGCTGGGTCAAGGGCTGAGCTTTGGGGGTGCGAGTCCTCATTAAATCTTTCCCAAGGGGGATTTCTGGGGGTGCTAGAGAGACAACCGGCCCAGCTCTCACTGTCCCCCTGCCATTGAAAACGCTGGAGAGGAGACAGGGTCTTAGTGGGGAGAGGCACCGACCAAGCGGGTGTGCATGAGCCTGTCAGAGTCTAGACGTGGGAGCCCGAGGTCTGGAACAGGGGGCTGCAGAGAGGCCCACCCAGAAACCAAGGCCCAGTTGCCGCGTCCCCCACTCCTCCCCAGCACTGGGCCCCCAGCCGTGTGCTCCCGTGCGCGCGTGTATACGCGAGTGTGCATGTGCGCGCGTGTGTGCGCGCGTATGTGTGCGAGTGTGTGCGTATGTGTGCGTGTGTGCCCATGAGCGTGTGCGCGTGTGTGTGCCTGTGTGCGTGTGCGTGTGTTTACATGTGTGCGTGTGTGCGCGCGAGTGCGTGTGTGGTGTCAGCCCGGATGTGAGGGGCTCGGGTATCGGCTCGGCCCACCGCAGCGGGCCGGGAAAAACACCCATGCGCCCCGCCCCGCGGGACACCTGCCGCCGCCACGCGAGTTGCGGGGGTCGCGGGCGCGCCCTGGAACGCCCCCCGCGGCTCCGCCCGGCCCCGGACGCCCCCCGCGACCCCGCCCGGCCCCGGATGCCCCCCGCGGCCCCGGCGGGGGCGCTACCTTCTGGATGCGTCCATCGATGTCCAGGTAGATGGCCTTGGGCCGGTAGGTGGAGGGGCCCGAGCCCATGGCGCGCGGCCGCCGCCTGGACTTTTACTGGACTTTCCCGGGCGGCCGCCGCGGAGGGCGGGGGCGGGAGGAGGGGGCGGCGGCGGGAGCACCGTGGAGCAGCCAACCAGCGCGCAGCCGCGCGCGCCCGCCCCGCCCGCCCGCCGCGCGCCCCCACCGCGCGCCCCCGTGCCCCGTCCGCCGCGCGCCCCCGCGACTCCGCGCCCCGCCCGCCGCGCGCCCTCCCTCCCCCACCCCTGCTTCCGCGCTGCCCCCGCCCTTCCTCCCTCCCCGCTTCCCTTAGCTGGGGGGCTGCAGACTCAGCCTCCCCCGGGTGAAACGGGCCCCGTGCCCAGAGCGACCCCTGCTGTCTGCACAGCGGGTCACAGCGCCCCTCAGGCCCCTGACTCACCCGGAGAATGTCCTAGGTCCCCCCTCCCCAGGAGTTGGGGGCTGCTCTGCTCACGCACCCCGCCCCCTCCCCAGAAGCTGGGGGCTGCTGTGCTCAGGCACCCAGGCCCCCTCCCAGGAGCTGGGAGCTGCTCCCGTTCATGCACCCCTGCCCCCTCCCCAGGAGCTGGGGGCTGCTCTGCTCGCACCCCGGCCCCCACCTCCTTGGACTTCCGGGGGCTGCCCCCCTCTCCAGCTGCACCCAGAGCAGACACGCAATTTCATCACTTGATTTCTGTTCTCCATGGAGATGACCCAGCGGGAGCCAGCAGCTGGCCGCAGCCCCCACTGCTGGTGGCCGGCAGCGCCCGGCCGGTTGGGGGGTGGGGATGGGGCTGCTCTGAGCTGGGGTCTCCAGCGGAAGAGTCGGGGCAGCGCCTGCTGTCCGCCTAGGGGAAACTGATGCACTGCCGGTGGCCCCTGAGCGCCAGCCCCGCCCGGAGGCCCGCCCAGGTGGGGCTGCCGGTTCGCTCTGCTGGCCAGGGGCTGGCCTCGGGAGCAAGGGGCAGCTGTGTCCTGGGTGCACCCTCAGCCTCTGGGTGCCCCTCCCACAGGAGCAGCCCTGGACGTTTGGGGTGACTGGGAAGGTGATAAGGCTCCATGTCCCAGGGAGCTGGGGGGCTGGTCCCTGGCACTGACGTCACTAGGGGCTCACTGCTGCCTGTGGCTCCCTGCCCTGGCCCCCATATCGTCCCAAGCAGAGGCCTGCCGCTCTGTGGGCTGACTGACGGGAGGTGGGGTCTGTGACCCCTGGGGCAGCCAGTGCTTGGGGGTCTCTCAGCAGATGCTGCATCCAGAGCATCAGTGACGGCGGCGTGTGTAGGACCAGTCCACCCTCTCCAGAGAGCCCACACAACTGCCTGGCTCACCGCCAGGCTGTGTCAGGGCTGAGCGTGAGGCTGGAGGACACACAGACACTGCCTCTGGAGTGGGAGACAGACCCGAAATAAACCAGCAGGGCAGGGGCGATTCGTGCCAAGGCCGGCAGGGAGCTGCTGTGGATGGGGGGGAAGAATGTTCCAGCAAGGAGACCATGAGGGAGGAATGGGGGCAGGGAAAGTGCAGGCGCCTGTCTGAGGGGGGGAGAAGTGTCCTTCCTTGTTCAGGGATCTCGCTGGACCAGGCCCCAGCGGCTCTGAGCCATGGCCCTGGGTGTGATGTGTGTGTTTGTGTGTGTGTGTGTGTGTGTGTGTGTATGTGTGTGTGTGTGTGTGGTTCCAGTTTAGCTGGGCTGTGCGTGTGAACACAACCTCGTTAACCCAGGGTGGTCCCTGGTCCGACTGGTGCGTGTGCGTGTGTTTGCATAGGAGGACTAGGGGTCAGTCTTGGTTCTGGGGACTTGGCAGTTCAGTGCTGGGCCCCGCAGAGGCCGTCCAGGGCTTCATCCAGCCGTGTCTGGGGGGCAGGGTCCGGAGCTCCCCAGGACACGCGTCTCCTGTTTGGGGCTGCTGCTGTTAGATTTGGGGCCTCTGGGCCACACTGTGCTGGCTCCAAGCTCAGGGTCACTCCAGGCAGCCCCTGGAGACCCTGTTCCGTGCTGGAGGTCGGGTGAGGCCAAGGCAAGCATCCTCTCCTTCCTATCTCTCTAGCCCCAGCTTATTGGGGGGCACACTTGGCGGTGCTGGGGGCTGCTGTATACTTGATGCTCAGGGACCCTTCCCGTGACTCAGCCCAGCCCTGGGTGCCCTTCCTGACTGCCACAAGAGGTTCTTTCTGTGCCAGCCCGCGGCCCTCCTCGGCCCTGTCCCTGGCAGTCAGCTTGGAGGGGAGGAGGCCTCACCCTAACAGGAGGGTGACGTGGTGAAGGGAGGGAGGAGACAGAGGTGACCCCGATTCTCCCTGTGCAGGCCAGCACCCCTGCCAGTCACCCGGCTGTCTGGAGCCAGCGCCCAGGGGCCTTAGCCCGGCTCTGCCCCCAGGGCAGGACACGGAGGGGGAGGGCAGTCTCCTCCAAGGCCTCTTCAGCTTTGGCTCTGGCCTGGCCAGGGCCCAGAATGAAGAACCAGCGAGTCCCCGCGGCCGCCTGCATGTCCCTGCCCAGTGGCCCGTCCCCTCCTGCTGCCCCCCACCTGCTGGGTTGGTCCTCTGGTCTCTCCTCTCCCCGCCAGCCCCCTGGATGGCCTCTTTCCTGGGGTCACCTGCCCAGAACTGCACGTCTCCAGACTGGGCCCAGGTCTCTGGCCCAGTGGTCCCTGCTGGCAGCCCCGGACCCTCAGTGTCTGTCGGCGGCAGCCAGCGGTGGTCAACTGGGATGGACCGAAGCCGCCGGGCTCCCCCAGCTGGAGCTTTGTGTTGGGCCCTCAAGGGTGAGGGCTGGGGCAGTGGGCGGGGGGCATATCGGGCCGCCCTGGGTGACCCGTGGGTTGCTGCAGGCTCCGAGTCAGCGTGGAGGCTGTGGGGCGGGGGTCTCCCGGCCACACTCAGCCTGATGGTTGGGCCCAGAGCAGATTCCACATGTTTCCAGGCCAGGCTTAGGGCTCCCGCCCAGCTCCAGGGACTGATGTGTATTTGAGGGATTTCAGTGGCTCAGTGAATGTTCCCAGTTGAATGGCCATGTGTATTTTAATGAGTTTGTATTTTAGCAGCCCTTTGTGTTTTAGTGGTTAAGTGGTTGTGTATTTTAGTGGTTAAGTGATTGTGTGTTTTAGTGATTATGTGTTTTTGGTTTATTTTTAAAATTTGTTAAAAAATTGAATCCCAGTGAGATACACAAAGTTGTTCATGATTGGGTTTCAGCCACACAATGTTCCAACACCTGGACCTTCACCAGTGCACACTTCCCACCTCCAATATCCCCAGTTTCCCTCCTGCCCCCTCCCCCCCAACTCTGGCCTGATTATGTGTATTTTACTGGTTTAATGATTGTGTGTACTTTAGTGGTTAAGGGATTGTGTATTTTAGTGGTTTAGTGATTATGTGTATGTGTGTGTTTAAATTTAAACTCACTTCCACCTGATTATGTGTCTTTAGTGGTTTAGTGATTATGTGTGTTTCAGTGGTTGAGTGATTGTGGATGTTAGTAGTTGGGTGATTGTGCCTGTTAGTGGTTGGGTGATTGTGCATGTTAGTGGTTAGGTGATTGTGTATGTTAGTGGTTGGGTGATTGTGCGTGTTAGTGGTTGGGTGACTGTGGATGTTAGTAGCTGAGTGATGACGTGTGTTTTGTGGCTTCCCTAAGGTCAGTGCTGCCCCATGGTCACGCCTATGGGCACTTTGTGGTTCTTTCTGAAGCACTCACCTGCCCTCTCCCAGGAGCTGGAGGTCCCAGCCGCTTCCCAGGGCCCCCTCCAAGGGCCCCAAACCCCAGGGCTCCTGAGGGTACATGGGGGGACACAGAGGCCTCTGGGATGGTGAGCGGCTCCCACAGAACTGGGTACGGGCAGAGTGTGCGCTAAGCCCCACTCCCCCCCCCCCCCCCCCCCGCCTTTGCCCAACCCCCATACTGGAGGTCTGCATGGCCCCGGCCTCTCTCCAGGCTCTGCAGTCAGGAGCCCCCAGTGGGTGGGAGGGTGTCCTGCAGTGGGGGAGGGGTGTCCCTCTCCTCAATCTCAGGGTCCCTTTCTTGCAGGGGCAGGTACCCGCCGGCTGCTGGGGCTCTGCAGTGGCCCTGGGCACAGCTGTCCCACCCACTTGTCGTGCACCCGTGTCTCTGTCTGGACGCTTGGGCGTGGCTGTGGCAGCGCTGACCCTGGCCACGTGCTCTGTGGAACAGGCAGCTTCCGGGGCCCGCCGGGGCCTTCCTCCTGCTCCAACCGGGGCCTCTCGCACGCCAACTCCTGCCCAGGGTGTGTCTGCCAGGGTCGCCCCTGAAACTGCCCCTCCTCTTGGGGAGGACATCTGTGCCCAGCGGGGAGGGGGCGCCCCTCGGCAAAGCTTCTGGATTCTTCTGCGTGGGAACGTCCTTGGTCCCACGCTCGGTTTGTTTACTCAGCCGTTTATGGTTCCATGTGGACCTGGGGGGTGCTTAATCTTTCTAGTTATAATCCAATAACACTTTGTTTTGTGGCTCAAATTGTTCTTGCCTCACCCTGGGGGGCTGGAGGGGGGTGTTGTCCTTTGACCCTGTGACCCCAAGTGCCAGGGCTTTTCCTTCTCTAGGACCTCGTTACTTTTTGGTAAGGAGACTTCCTGCCTGCCTCTCCCCACCCCAGCGTCCCTGGGAAGTTCAGTGCTCAGTGTCCGTTACCAAGTTGTGCCGCTAGGTCTGCAAGCAGCATCGTCTTCTCCAGGCCCTGGGGGTGCTGGGGGCCCGCCGTGGCCGAAACTTCCTGCAGGCGACGTCTCCACCTGCTCGCACGGATCCAACCCTCAGTGGCAGGGAAATGTTGCCCAGGCCCTTCTGCAGGAGTGACCCCCGATCCCTGACTTCAGGACCCCGCCACTGTCCGCCTCCTCACAGGGATCTCTCAGGCAGCAGGGTGGGGGGGCCCAGAGGGTCACAGGCCCGGGTACCTCGTGCAGAGGTGAGGGCATGGCTGGTCTGTGAGATTGGGCACGGCTGATGCTTCAGGGCTGGGTGTGGCTGGCCTGGTGGGCTTGGTGTGGTGTGTGTTGGCCTGTGGAGCTGCCCCTCTGCACACGTGGACAGGGATGTGTCCATGCGCCCGGCTCACCCAGAGGGATGGGGACTCTGCGAGGGTCAATGA